AAAGCAGTTTACTCCAATATGATGTAATTTTTGACAAACAGCCAGAGAGACTATTTTGCAAGTTCTTGCCAGATACAAGTCATTGTGTAAAGCTGGTAACACAAGCCTTTCTCTGAGCATGTGGAAAATTGACTTTCATGCCACCCGAAAGGTGACTTTAGGCTGGCAAAGGAGAGCTCCTCTTTTGCATATGCTGAGCTGCTCCAAGTGCCTCGAGCAATGCTTAAAGACCCACGCTGAGAGTTGCAACAATAAAGAGTCTCAATAGCTTGCAGCAAATCCAGCTGCAAACAAAGCCCTACACCCCACCTGCTCCCCTCAAACTCCTGCAACAGCCAAAGTTGCACATGAAGCCGAAGACAAGCGTGGTTTGGTTTTTTTCTTTTCAGTTTCCTTTTGTTTGGAGTCAAAAAGTAAAGACTCCAAGCTGGTGGCAAGAAGGAGAGCCAAGCATTGTGCAGGCAGGCAGCGGGCAAGCTCGGGTCTGCCAAGGCACCTGCAAGCTTTGCTGTTCCAGCCCTGGACACTGCCAGGAGCCAGGGCTCTGCCAGCCCTCGTGGGCTTGGGATGTGGACAGATGTCTGCTAGGACCTAGGAGGAGGTCACCAGGCTCATCTGACTTGTGGCTGAGGACTGGTGTACGAGCTCAGGTACCCAGAGATGATCTTTACCCACCGTACCACCCATAAACCTAGAAACACACTTTCCTTAACCTAAGGATAGGGCAGGTAAAAGCAAGGCAAGGTAATTCTTAAAAACAGAATAAATCCTCTTGGTTTTACAGATTATCACCTGGAACACAATCCTAGCAGCTGTATTTTTTACCTTAGCTATGCTCATGTTGAGTTATTCACATGAATGTCCAAACAGGACAAAAAACCCAACCACCAGAATACCATGAGCATCAGCCAACACAAAAGGCATTCTTCTATTATTATTTCTTAACTTGCAAAATTGTTTTTGGTTATTTACAAAGGCAGAAATAACAAGATGGATGATTGTTACTTTTCAGCAAGAGAGGGGTTCAATCAATACAACATGCAAAATGTAGTCAAGGAAAACTTCTGGTCTCTGCTGGTCTCTGTTCCCTTGCAGTGCCTGACTTCTCAAAAGTTACACAGTTCAGATCCTCAGAAAGAGTTCTGTCCCTCCTTGCTATCAAGGAGTTCATAAAAAGGAATTTAAACCACCTTTCACCATTAAAGATCTGCCAGTGCTTTACAGTTCTACAGTTCCCTGAAGGAAAATTGTCTGGGCAAGTCCCGTATGTTCAAATTCAGCCCCTGGTAAGACCTGCCCTTCTATTGGTAAGAAAACAAGATTTCAAAGATCAATTTGTTGAAAACTGGACTATTTACAAGGGTCACAGTGGTTAAAACTGAAAAAAAAAAAAGACAACAACACATTTTTTAAATGAGAAAAATAAAGATTAAAAAAAGTTGAAATCTTAGGAACTCCACAAGAACTGGAGACATTCCAGCTCTAGAAAAGCCAACAGAAGCTTACTAGTTAACAAAGAAAAGGATTTTAGTTAAAATAAGGTGCAAAAATGATGTAATGGCTTATATAAAGCAGCTGTGACCTAAATACATCATCCAAGACAGACTGTGGAGTATGAAATTCAACTTAAAGGATTATTTAAAATTTTTAAAGTTAATACTAGTTCATAACATCCATTTCAAGTGGTTAATTCTACTGGATACACTCACGTTAGGAAGCAGTTGAAGAACTCTGTGGAAACATTCAACACAGGAGCAAAACTAGTATTTCAGTTGCTGAGAAGAGGCAGGTGATGTTGAACACCCTCCATCAAGCACAAGCCAATCACCAGCTCATCAAAACAGATGAACAAAACAGCATAACAAACTCCCAGGACATCTGATCCCAACATGTTTAGCCTTCCCTTTTGAAGCTGGAGGCTCAAAAATCATGACTGTCCTTCCTCCCTTCACTTCTCTCCTCCCCATCGACCTGTCCTGAAATAAGGTTCAGTTTGGGCACAAAGAACCAAAAAGACAAACTCTGAACTGAGCTTTATGATGCACTCAAGAGAGGAAGAGTTCTTCAGCTGCATGAGTTTCCAATAAAACTCTCTTGCATACTATATGAAGTTTCTTTGTTAGCAAAACCCCCAAATCCTCCAGTTCTGGTTATCTTCTATCACCAAAACCTGTGGAATACATTAAAAAATTTCAATTGAATTTTTAATACAGGAGAAAGTTGGGGTTCTCACCCCCCCACACGAGAATAAAGCACCTATAAATTCCATAGAAATAATCCAGGAGCAGGAGAGAGCTCAGCTGAAGCTCCAGAAGGAGACCAGACTTACTTGACAGCAGACAGTTAATTCAGGGAAGCTTATAAATACACCAGCTGTGAGAAAAGCTTCAGTCAGATCCCACAGTCAGTGAGATGATTGCATCAGAAATCAGATGATGTCAATCCTGACAGTCACAGCCCTACCTGTTGAAGAGCTTCATATCCTGCCACGAGGAGGACCAAAACCAGCTCCAGCTGAAATCTGTAGATGTCCATGGAGTTTGAAAATCATTTTCCATACAATGCTCAAATTCAAACATGGGAATGCCAAGACTTGGTGATGCTGCTGCAGGGTTGAGATCAGGCCTCTCCAAACTGCATGACACAGGGTAATGTTATTCCCTAGACACCATTCTTCAAGGAATGTTCACTGGATGCCAGGAGGACCACTTCAGGCTGAGAGGGAAAGCCAGGGCTAGGGTTTTCCCTGTGGTTCATTACCTGTCTATATGATTTACCCTGTATGAGCCTGGATGGGAACACAGATCTCTACATCTCAAGAACTGGGGATTTAAGGAAAACAGTACATTGTAGATGATGTGACTACAGCTGACACAATCCTTACTGAAGAAATTTCTCTTAGTTTAACGTAAAACAAAGAGCTCCAGGAGCACTAGACAGACTCTCAAGAAGCAGCCTCATATTTGGGCTGTCTGATGCTTAATGAAGTGAAAGTTGAACTTCTTACAGCTGAAGCATTTATGTTCTCCCCTCTCTCCTGCACGGATGTCTGTCATCTAACAGAAGCAAGTCTAAGCCACAGATTTTACGTTTTTTTTCCCTCTCTGACAGAAAAGCTCCTACAAAATGCCTCAGATCTCTGCTCTGCTGTCAAATGTGGTTAAAATTAGACAATTAAATAAAAAGAGAGAAGGAAAATGATGGTTTCCCTAGCTGTATGTTCACCAGAAAGCAGGTTACCAGGCAGTGCTTGCACTGAAGAAAAGAGACACCCCTCAGGAGAAAACAAAGCAAGCCCCAAACTGAGGAGAAACACAGCAACACAGCCAGCAGGGCTGGAAATCTTCATCACGACGTTCCCAAGACCAAAAGCTCTCCTGAAGACAGATTGTCAACTTGTGACCAGGGGTAATCAGCCAATGCAAAGTCCCTTCACGTCTGCGCGAGGCGAATCGTTATCATAATAGACGTTGAGTAATTAATTTCCGGCGTGATGTCAGCTGGTGGGGCAGTGCCAAGTGAGTCCTTGTCAAACACCTCCCAGCTGTCTGGACGAGGTGAGTCCCATCTCCCTGATTAGGATGTGCTGCTTAATACAATCTGCCAGCAAATGCCAAATACTTCAGAGCTAAATCAGGAATTATGTCCAGCTTTACCGAGTGACACTCAGGGGCCTAAGTCTATTTCTCTGCTCCTTTACGAGGCACAAAGGTGATCACTGATGTGATGCCCTGGATGAGGCAATTTTACCTCCTAACCTCCCACCTCTGCAGGGAAAAGAATTGGATTAGGACAGCAAAGGAATTAATAAAGGCAGCGTGGCCTCGCAGCATCTCTCAACCCTAGAGGTATTTATGGTGGCCTCAGTGTTCCCCCAGTGAACGTGAATTTTAAGGGTAAATTAGATGCAGCTGGACACACTTATTCCTAACACAGAGGCAGTCCTAAATGCAGCTCTCCTGCTCTAGCTGCTTGCCAAAGAAAACACTGCATTTGTACACTGCAGACCACAGCTCCTTTCATCTGGCTGCTCACGTCCTGCTTCTTTCTCCACCTGCCTGAAGCACTCTCCTTCCCTCTCTGCTGACAGCCCATCAAATGCCTCAAGTATAATCACAAAAAATGGACTTACACAATGGGAAAGTTAGGCAAGATGAAGGAAAGGGAGAGAAGCTCTTCTCAAGGCATCTAGGTATGGGTCTTTCCACAGCCCTGGAGCGGGGCTGTGTCCAGGCTGCTGCCACCACCTTCCTGAGGTCTCCATGAAGATTCTGAGACCATCCAAGATACAATTATTTATGCTATCTATTTGGGTCTGTAAGCCCAGAATTGCCCCTCCTGCAATCAGAGAAGCTAGAGAAGAGCTGCATCAGAAGCACACCTCAGTCATGAGACTTCAGCAGAATAACAAAACCAGTCTGGTTCTGATCCACCCTGCCACTGCTGATAAAAGCAGCAGACTGTGTCACAGAGACCTTCAAACCTATGACTAGCATTTAACTTAAATTTACATTTAACCTTAATACAACACTCACACCATCCTCACCAAATCAGAAGTAACTCAGTTCAAACCCTAAGGCTGATGAAAAAAGAAGCATCCTCCTCAGGCTGCACATCTGCATGTCCAGGGCTTGACACATCAGGAAGCTTAAGGCATGTTTTGCCTTTTGGGGCAGAGTTGTTTATTGGAGGTTTCAGTTTTGGGGGGGTTTTTTGGAGAGGAGTTCCCCCTAGAGGGCAATAGATGCAGGACACAGGTGAATCAGCTGGGACTCGTGGAGACTGCAAAGTATTTGCAGTGATCCCAGGCAGCTGAGCACCAATCCCTCACTCCAGCCCACTGGAAGAACACGAGTAAGAAGCACCAGAGGCTGCATTAAAATGTCTTCCCTGTGCTGTCAAAAGCTGAATAGCAGGAAAGGGAATAGTCAGTAGTATGAACTCATTTTTCCTCTGGTGATTATAAAGGTATAAAAATCTTATTAAAAATATTGAAATACCTGGTTGGGCTCATTCAATAACCAGCCAAAGGTTTTGACTCCAAAGGCTGCTTCGTGAGCAGACACATCAAGACATGTGACAGGCTGACCATAGACAGAATGGAGGACTTTGCCAGGATCTTCTGCTTTCAGGAGATAGACAATGTCTTCTGCAGCTGCTACTGTCACTGGGCTCCCCATAACATCTGGAACCAGATTAAGGAAGTTGACCTAAAAAGAGCAGACTTTTAATTTTTGTTACAGCCCAAAATTCTTTTACACTCCTAGTGCCACAAGCTAAACCCGAAAAAACTACTGATGTGTGGTTATCAGCTGTCTTGAATCACCCCAATTAGGAATTAATTTCAGACAAAGACCAAGTATCAATTTTATTTCTGCTAGTTTAGCTCCCACAGTGAAATTTAGCTCAGTGTCTTTAGATTTTTAATGGGCTCATTCTAATCAGAACACACTACAACACAACACACCAAAATGTCACATCAAAGAAAGAAGCAAGACTTTGCAGACTTGTTCAGATGAAAGACAGAAAACCATCAGGTTAAAGCATCCAAAGCAAATATCATGGTTAGAATTTGAATATAGTGCTCAAGAAGAGGCACCACATTCACACAACTAACATGGAATAGTTGATGCTTACCCTGAAATCACATCTATACACCCTAAATCAACAGAAAAGACTATAGAAGAGCCCAAGTAGCAGCTCCTCTGTCTTCTGTCACCAGGCCAGAATGAGATTGCTCTTCCCATTTTAGCAAATAGTTTTTTTAAAAAAAATACATCTGAAAAATCTCACCACAAGAAGCATTTAAACTCCTCAAGAACTCAGCTAATTTGCTAAGCCAGCCTTAGAGTGGGGTGTCCTGAGGGTCTGTCACATGTGGCCAACTGACCTTCATACCCATGAGCTTCCTGCAACAGGAGAGAAGCTGCAAGACTCCATTTCTTCCTAAGCACTTCCTTCCCCTTGCAAAAAAAAGTTGATATTCTGAGACATAATAAAACTTCAGAGAACGGGACAGCTTTTCCTTTTCAACTGAAATAGTCTCAGAACTTCAGTGACAGAAGGTGCAACCTAAAGGAGCTGCACAACTAGTTACAGCTTCACAAGTGATACTATTAGCTCTTCTGCAATATCCTGCCTCAGAATTAATCAGACCATGCAGATCTGGAATGAGACCTTGAGTTTTAGCTCCAATTCTACGTGAGGAAACTGATTTACAAAATGAGCCAACTTAGTTTGATGTTGACAAAAACCTAATTACAAACAGCCAACCTCCTGCACCATATGGACTTCTACTCATTTTCACTTGTAGCTTAAGGCAGCATTTCACCCTTGCTCCTCAGGGATGAAAGACTTGTCCATTCTCCTGCTTCAAAACCACAGCCTCTAGCTGATAAAGCTGTTGTTTAGTCCAGGCAACACTCTTGTAAGATTTTATAAGATCCCTCTTAACCACACCACTAATAATTAGTGGATCAGGAGCTGCTGGAATGAAGCTGAGCAGCCTGGAGACTCACCAATTTCTGGATTTCAAATGTTCCTGTAGTTTGCCAGAATCCTCTGTCATCAGGGCTTTCCACCTTGACCTCGAAGCCAGACGCCGTTGCTACCATCGCGCCCTCGGAAGCAAGAGCCAAGGCCTGGATCCTCTGGTTGTGCTGGTAATGATGGATTGGCTCCCTCCCAAACATCAGGCTCCACACACTGATGGATCCTGGATACACACAAAAAATAAACATCATGCTTTACCTGAGAATTGAACAGACTTTAGAAGATCATTTCAAGTCGTACGCTCATAATCATCCTAAGGGAAAAGGTGAATATACAGAAAAGAGACTGTAGGGCAGGACACTGCTCAGCTCAGGTTGACAACATTGAGCTGTGAATGCTGCTTCTGGGGGAAGGAAAAAAAGAAGTAGAAATCATCTTTCTGAATGTCTATTACACTTCAGAGGGATTAAAGTAAAAAAGGAAAAATAAAATGTCAGTGTGGGTTTAGATTAATGGCTACATCGGAGATGCTTTGTTGCCAAAGTATGACATTTTTGGGGGACTTTTTATTGCATGTAGCAATAGGATAAGGGGGAATGGCTCTAAACTGGAAGAGGGGAGATTTGGGTTGGATATTAAGAAGGAACTCTTCCCTGTGAGGGTGGTGTCTATGTAATTTCTAATTACTGTAAGTAACATTGTTATCTACCTTGAAGAACACGGCTTGAATTGTCTCACTTTTCCACATCTAGAGAAGTTCAGACTTAAAAACACACCTAAACTTTAATTCTCTTATATACTCTCCCTCAGTTGAAACCAGAAACAGTGAGGAAGAACCCACTAGATGATCTTTAAGGTCCTTTCAAACCCAGTCCAGTTACAATTCTACGATAACAGCTTCAGAAGAAACACCCCAAAATCATGTGCTCTGGCATTAGATGCTTATTGTTGTCTACGTAATTTCTAATTACTTTAAGTAACATTGTTATCTACCTTGAAGAAGACGGCTTGAATTGTCTCACTTTTCCACATGTAGAGAAGTTCAGACTTAAACACACACCTAAACTTTAATTCTCGTATATACCCTCCCTCAGTTGAAACCAAAAACAGTGAGGAAGAACCCAAATTTAAGTCACTCTCTGCACACAGGAAAGTTTTGCAGTCATGAATCTGAAGCTCTGCACAGACCCCAGTCAAACCAGGGATTTTAACACTATTCTTAACAGTTTACAACAAGCAGCAAAGCTCCTAATCCTGATGCCCTGGAAAAAGAGAAAATGCAAGAGAGTTGAATGCTTTTTGAAAGCTAAAGACAACAAACCCCGAAGAACCCAGGAGTATGAGTCAAAAGATGATATATTTCCATTTTTTCCCCAACAAAGATCACCAATACTCTGTTTAAAAGCACAGCACATTAAAGCAATAATCTGAATAAAATCAACCTGAAGCAATCAGGAGTGCATGACAGAAGGGCCAGACAGAATTGGAGACTTCTGGGCCACCTCTGCACTGAATTAACAGAGCAGCAATCTTCAGGCAAGACTGACAGGGCTGGAGAAGCCTTCCTTCCACTTGAGCATGGCCATTAATGATGAAATGATTGATGATGGCTGTTCCTTCAAAAGGAGACATAAAAGCTCTGACAGGCAGCTGTGGATGGGCACCAATGCCAGTCTGCAAACACTCCTCCCATCTCCCAGAGGAGGTGAAGCAAGAGTGTGGTAATGAAACTGCACATAGTGAAATGGTATCTAAATGAGTTTAAATTGATTTATGTTTGCTTTTGTAAAGATTATTTGGTATCTGGAAAGTGCTACCAATGTGAAATAATGCAGATAATCCTTAAGATCCCAGTCTAATGGCACTCCCACTGAATATTTATATTCCTCGCCATGGGAATGAGTACCATAATGGGGACCATTTTTGTTTTATTAGGGATGCATATTTAAATTAATCTGCTATTTGCCTAAACAATTAGCTGCCTCTGTTTGTTTACACAAAGCCAAAACTGCAATTAGGCTTCCATCAAAAAGATAAGTCCCGACTAAAACTGTCCCGATGGAGTCGTAAGGGCTCAGAGCAGAACTTCCCAAAATTACTTCTTAGCATAATGGTAATTATGTTAATTGCTTGAAAGGTAAATAACTGCTGAACTGGTTTTGAAAAACAGAATGCTAGCTCCCATCACACACACTTAGGCTTAACACAAGTTAACAAATACAAATGGGCAGCACAGGCTCCAATTCCCTCCTCTGCCCCCCACGAGGGCTGAGCACTTTGTGCCTTCACAGAGTCCTCAAACAAAGGGAATGGGTGAAGTCTCATCCCCAGGACAGCTGATTTCATCAAGCAAACAAACATCACTGACAGAAGATTGTAGAGATATCAGAACACCTATGTTAGAACTGGACTTTTTAATCAGATGATGGATATTGCTGCCAAGCTCCCCCAGGAATATTTTCTTTTTACCCAGGACATTTATCCCAATTAAAAACCACTTTTGCAAAGGGGAAGAAGGAAGCTGATTTGTTTTCAGTGAAGTCTTTCGTTTGCACACCTTTGTAATGAGCATTTTGTTGGTTTTAACAGAGTGGATTAAACTATGAAAGTTCTGCAAAATAACAAAAAAGATTCAAGTCAAAGAACCCTCTTCTGACCACGTGAACTAACTGGGAAGCCCAGAGTTCTCTCTAAATTTGGGCAACAAAGCCACTGTTATTATTAGTGCATCTCAAACAGCACACAGAGAAGAGAGCACAAATGGCTCATGCAATAGAACAATCAGGTTGAGACTGGTGTTTTATTTTTTTTACAAAATGTTCAATAGCAAAAGCTATTCAAAATGCCTAAAAAAAAAATGTATCAGGCAAATACAGGGTGCACAGCAAGTGATGCATAAGATGGTGTGAAAACATCCCTGACAATATTAAAAAAAAAAGCCAAGTGACTTGTAAGGTCACCAGTGAACACCTGATTAATGAAGGAACACAATCTCAGGTGTAAAAGGGAGAGCTGCCAAGGAATGCAAAGAGCAAGAGAAACACCATTTTCTTTCATGAGGATGAACAACTAGTTGCTTGTAAAAGGACACTTAGTCCCTCTTGCTTCTGTCCTGCTCCAAAAGAGTGCACAATTCTGTATCTACACCTTCCAGCACCTGTTGCTTGCTACCAGTCAGAAGCTTCAACCACCCCATGCAAGGACCTTTTGTGGAAATTCACTGGTCAGAACAGGAAAACATGATCAAGTTTCATAGAGAAAAAGAAAGCACATTTATTTATCAATACTGTAATAGAGAAAACACTGTATTTATCAATACAAAAGCTCCTACTAGGTGTAAAAGGGCTAGGCAGAATATTCTGTATCCCACTGCAGAAAAAGCAAAATGTATTTATTAGTGTGCAAGCCCCTGCAACAGTCCATCATGTTTGTGTAAGAGCAAAAAATAAAAGCCACCATAAGTTCAAGTTATCAGTATGGCAACATAAAAAAAAATGAGGCCTAAGATTTACCAGGTGCAGATGAGATCACTACTTCCCAGTCTATCTTCCTGCCTCCAGCAGTGACCAGTGTTTCATTTCCAAAGCAGCACCTTTGCTAAGGTGAAGCTGAGGTTGCAAGCATAGAGTATCTTTTTTTTTTCTTTTTTAATTAATACTGTAATCTTAAAAGTGTTAGAAAGTCATTAAATCAAAATGACAAGCAGTATTTCCACAGCGTGCTGAAATCTGCACCACGACTGTGATTATTCCAATTGAACTCTAACAATAAGTCCTCAAATGGTTTCAGACTTCCCAGCTTCCTTATATTCCATCCTGGCTCAAGGAAATGAGTGAAGTGCAAGAAGCTGATGAAGATGGTATAATAGCTAGTGCTTGACATGACAATCACTCTACCAGGCTTCTTGTTTTATCACTCTGGCCCAGATTGTACAAAGAATTCAGGTTTGTAACTTCTATACCCAAATACATTGTGGAAACACGACAAAATTGCAATTTATTGCAATTCTCTCTAGATTATGAGGTATTTGGATAAATTTAACTATGAGTCTGTGGTGCCTGACACAGTGTGCTCCAATTTTAGTTATCCTCAGCCAGTCTGACACATCTCTTGCTGTACCAAAGGTGGGTGGCTGGAAGCTGGTCTCTGTTAACACAGCCTCTCTCTGCAGCTGGCAGCACAGGTACCATCCTGCACAAGAAGAGGGGTTTTTTGTTTTACATCTTTTCATACAGGTTTCTCTCTGGTAAAAAAAGCAACACTTTTACCATGGGAAAAAAAGAAGTATCTCTCTTACTATAAAATACTCTAATCCTGTAACAGGGAAAGGCAGCATAAACACAGAGGCAAAAATAATGGTAAATCCTATTTATAACTATTATACTGGTTGTATACATCATCTCTATGACTTTTCTCCTGTTTGTGGGTCACAATCTTGCCATTTCTAGCTTGATTTAAAGAAAATAAAATACTTTCTCACCTTTTGAAAACACTTCTTACATGTATATTTCTTCTCCAAGCTGGGAATATTTACTTATTTCCTTACCCTTTTCAGACAAGATCATACTTGTATGAAGTACAAACAGTAGATGGAATAAGCAGGTGGGAATAAGAAGCAGCCTGAAGTCTCAAAGCTTCTAATTTTGTATTTCAAGCTTCTCCCAAATGCATTTCTAGTTGGAGGGGTCACCAACACACACCTAGCTTGACCTACTAGATGCTTAGTGTTTATTAACTAAAATTTTACATCTTTTTTTTTTCACTGTAAGGCTGTTTCTTAGCTTTCAGGAGCTTCCACTTACCTTACTGACCAGAACCAGACTAGACCTCAGCCCTAAGACTGGTGCCTTCCCATTACCACAACAGCTTCCACCAAATGGTACCAGGTTTTGTCTCCCCCACTCTTCTCAGACATTCCCAGATGACACCACCCTTGTACAGTCCCTCAGAAAAGGCACAGAGGAGAAAGCCTGTATTTTGTTCCCAGCTTGGGGACTCAAGAGACAGATCTCTGAGCACCATGTGAAATCACTCACCATTTACCCAAGCCCAGCTCTGCAGCCACAGCCACCTGTACACACCTGATGGGAACAAACCTACTTCCACCTGCTACATGCAGATTTCTCCACAAACTTCTTTTAGCTCAGCCTGTTTTCCTGTTCCTGTCACCTTACAGCATGTCCCTGTGCCTCAGGGGAAGGCACCAAACACGTTGCTGCATACCTGTCTTTGCAAAGGGGGTACAGAAGGGATAATACCCACAAGCAGCTTTAAGGGCATAAGAACAGACAAGACAGCAGATTTCCAGACCCTGAAAGTACTGCTGCCAAAATTCCCTTCCTGGAGCCTGCCACCAAGTGAGAGCACTTTTGACCCCTGCAGAAACCACCTTCCTCTGCTCCAAGTTGCTACTCCACAACCTGTAAAGTCCCACCAACTCCTTTCCAAGGGGTCTCAAAGGATGACCACGGGTGGCAGCACTTCCCTCCATCCCTACCCCAGTATCAAACATGGCATGTAAAAAACCCCCCAACACAACCAAGTATGTTCTCTTGTTGCCACACGTTGTTTTCAAGTCACACTAGGAGACTCCAAAGGATGGGGGGGGAGAGTGATGGCTAAAGTAGACTGCTGTTTCCCAAAAGCTGTGGCTCTCAGCCAAAGTCAGGCAAGCATGGAGCAGATGGAGTCCTGGCAAGGCCACTACTGTCCCTGCATTAGCAGCATCTGCTCATTACCCAGAACCCTCGCCTGCTTTATCTAATGCTCCAGGAAAAGCATTTTGATTTGATTCATTTCAGTTCGGTAACGTGCAACACAATTAGTGGTAAAATCAAACTGGAGGGCTGCCAGTGCTGACAATAGGAAACAAGGCAGAAGAAATATGAGGCCAGTGGGTTGGAATTCAAAAATCACAACTGTGGCTCGAGTTGCCAAGTCCCGTTGCCCCAGGTGTACATACAGTGCCCCTGCTGAGCACTGGCACGGGCAGAGGGAACTTCATTTTCTCCCCACACATTTTTTCTCTCATTTACCTCTCCTTGCAGCTTGCACCTCCCAGGCTGCCACCATCGGGAGCACTCACCACCAGCCACAGTGCCATTCTTCTTCAGTGCCATCACGGAGTCACAATTCACCCTGGGTGCAGGCATCCCCAGTCAGACCAATCTTTCTCCTTGCTATATTTCATTTGCCTTGGGAAGGGTTTGCTAGTACCAAAGCAGCCACCAGAGCTGCAAGGCAGGCAGGCAGGATCTGCCTGTTAGCTCTTCCATGTGATCAGATGCCAAGGACATCGCTGCATGAGCTCTGTTGAACTGGGAGAAACTGATGTTATCCCAACAAGTCTGCTAGCCAGGGATTCGACAGGGAAGTCTAGACTCTTTGCCTGACAGCACCACCTCCAACACAAGCAGATGGTTTCTCTGTGTTACTCAAACTTACAAACAAAGAGAAAAGGGAGCTGGAAAAGTACAACAAAGAACAACCAAACACAAAGTCTCCCTCCTCAAGTTTAAAATAATTCTCTCCAACAAACTGTAAATACAGGCTTTCAGATTCCAGTTAGTCAACGTTTATAAAATCAGTCTTTTTAATGCCCTTTTCACACAGAAACTCATCTATTCCGACCAGGCTTCTCAAAGCAGAGTTAACTGCCATCTCACAGAGCCCATTAAAATTTCTCCCCAAAAGAATAAAAGCTGCTGAGCTTCATGCAAACTTGCTCAGTCCCAGCACACACAGGCCTGACAACAAGGGATATGACAGAAAAAAAAACCCCTAGACAAATTATTAGATTAGTCTGTGGGAGACTAGAAAACAAACAAAAGACCCTCTGCTAGCCATTGTTTGGCATGCTGGACAAAAAGCCAACACTTAGAACTATTACTGTGTTATAATTTCCTGTGACTCCAGTAAATAGTGTTAATGAGCATTCTGTAATACCACACTTGCTGTATTCAGAAAATGTTGCTTATCAGCAATTTTTAGCCACAGAAAACCATTTCTAGCATGATCCATGCCAGAAAAACAGCTAAAGATGTTGCTCATCTCAAAACAGTTGTTTACACATATAAAACACTTAATTTGCTTCTAAAATAAAATATATGGATTAGAGATTGTGGTTGGATTATCCATCCTTGAGTTTGTTTTCACATGCACAAATGCCAGGATCAAAGATAATCTATGTACAAACCTCCCATGCTTTAAAAATACTCTTTATTCATACCCGAGGAGAGGTTTTTAAGTGTCAAATCATCCATATTAAAGAAAGATGACAGGAGTGGAGTTCTGCCTTAGCAACTCAGCCTCAGATCCCAATTGGCTTGCAACTTCCAAACCTGACTTTTTAAACTGCTGTTCCCACGTCCCGCAGACGTAGGGCTGGTCTCTGGCTCTTGTTGCCCATGATATAAACATCTAAGTATATTTAAAACAATGCATATAACCACGATTTTACAAGGTTTTCATTAAATATTAGGTCACAGGTTTTACATCTCTATATCAAAGCATATAATAACCCACCACTGCAAACCAATACTTCAGTTAAAATGTGCATCCAGACCCAATGCCAAGATCAGGAGAGGACACAGATTAATCAGACATGCAAGCTTACCAGTATTCCCATAACAAAGCCTCACAGCACCCCGAGGGAGTTTTGGGCAGAGGAGAAGGCTGCTAGAAGAATATTTAATATTTTTACAGCAAAACAAGTTATTTGCTTAAGATAGTTTGGCTGGACTCAAGCCTGGCACTCAGGCATTGTGCAGTAGTTCCAGTAGGAATTAAACATCAGGTTTAATGGGTGCCATGTTCCAGTGCCTCCTAATGCATTTAGGGTTATTGGCCAACTTGCTCACATAAAAGCAAGAGTGTGTGTGTGTGTGTTTGCACAGGATTACAGACACAAAAAGCTGAGCACAGCTGCTTCGTTTTTGTAAAGCCCTTGGTTGGTTTGTTGGGTTTTTTTTTTTTCCTCTCTTTTTAAATAGGGAGGAGAGTTGCGGTTACTTACCATCCTCATAAGCTGCTACAGCCAGAGAGCTGTTTATCCTCACAAAGGAGACATGTGGCTGAGGTCCAGCATCACCAGGACCGTGCACTGGTTCCAGGATGGGGGCTGTGTAGTCCCAGGTGCGAGTGTCCCACAGCCTCACTTCTCCTGATGTGTATCTGAAAAAGCCGAGGGAGTTTTGGGCAGAGGAGAAGGCTGCTAGAAGAATATTTAATATTTTTATAGCAAAACAAGTTATTTGCTTAAGATAGTTTGGCTGGACTCAAGCCTGGCACTCAGGCATTGTGCAGTAGTTCCAGTAGGAATTAAACATCAGGTTTAATGGGTGCCATGTTCCAGTGCCTCCTAATGCATTTAGGGTTATTGGCCAACTTGCTCACATAAAAGCAAGAGTGTGTGTGTGTGTGTTTGCACAGGATTACAGACACAAAAAGCTGAGCACAGCTGCTTCGTTTTTGTAAAGCCCTTGGTTGGTTTGTTGGGTTTTTTTTTTTTCCTCTCTTTTTAAATAGGGAGGAGAGTTGCGGTTACTTACCATCCTCATAAGCTGCTACAGCCAGAGAGCTGTTTATCCTCACAAAGGAGACATGTGGCTGAGGTCCAGCATCACCAGGACCGTGCACTGGTTCCAGGATGGGGGCTGTGTAGTCCCAGGTGCGAGTGTCCCACAGCCTCACTTCTCCTGATGTGTATCTGAAAAAGAAGACTACTGTTTACCCCAAACATCTGACAAGGAAAAGAAAGGATGAAACAAAAATGATCTTAAAAACCCAACACTGCTTACAGCTCCTAAACGGATTCTCCTCCTGTTGACACACTCTGGGTACAAGCTTTGCTCATTTCCTTCCCATTTACTGAAGTAGCATCATGTCTGCTAAGACAGGCAGGAAAACTAGTTACAAGAACAACACAACTGAACTACCAGTTACCAACTATGAATATAGTTGTGTGCAAGGTCCAAGTGCAAGGTCCTGGGTTGGGACAATCCCACACACAAACACAGGTTGGGTGGAGAATGGATGGAGAGCAGCCCTAAGGAGAAGGACTTGGGGGTGTTGGGTGAGGAGAAGCTCAACAGGAGCCCAGAAACCACCTGTGTCCTGGGCTGCATCCCCAGCAGTGTGACTAGGGAGGGGATTGTCCCCTCTACTCTGCTCTGGGGAGACCCAACCTGGAGAACTGTGTCCAGTTCTGGAGCCCCACCTCCAAGAAGGACACGGAGATCTTGGAGCAAGTCCAGATGAAGGCCAGACAGGCTGGGAGAGTTGGCGTGTTCAGCTTGGAGAAGACAAGGCTCCAGGGAAACCTTAGAGCACCTTCCAGTGCCTGAAGGGGCTCCAGGAAAGCTGGGGAGGGATTTGGGACAAGGGCAGGGAGGGGTGGGATGAGGGGGAATGGATTAAAACTAGAAGAGGGAGATTGAGGTTGGACATGAGGAGGAAATTCTTTGCTGTGAGGGTGGTGAGAGCCTGGCCCAGGTTGCCCAGGGAAGCTGTGGCTGCCCCATCCCTGGCAGTGTTGAAGGGCAGGTTGGATGGGGCTTGGAGCAACCTGGGCTGGTGGGAGGTGGGTGAGGACTGGATGATCCTTAAGGTCCCCTCCAATCCAAACCATTCTGTGCTTCTATGATTTTAGTTTTACAATTAGAATGCAAGGAGACCAGGGCTCAAGGAAAAAAGTTTATCAGCAATGAGGATAAATTACAAGATGGCAAAACTTCAAACTGCTTCTTTTTGGTCTTGAAAAATTTGTGATTGTGCCAAGAAAGGGCTGTTTCATCAGAGGATTTATGTACAAACACACAAGCACTCTTATGCACTCACCCACTCATCCAACCAACTGCTCTTTCTAGAAAGAAACTTCTTAGTGCCTCATTAATGGATCAGATTTGCCTACGTGTCCAATACTAATTAATACAATTTGGTGTTTTCTTTAGAATTAAAAGCAGTGCTGCTTTCTTTGCAGGAAGCTCTCACTGATACATCAGAACTACAGTTTAACATAAATCCATAGTTTTTGCCAACAAAAAAAGAAAAAGCAGACCTCAGCTCCTGGGATAACACTGGATGTATCTGAATGATCTGCCACACAACACACTACTGAAGAAAAAAAATCACTACAGGCAAAGCAGAGGACAAGGTCCCTCTATGACTGGTCAAAGAACACAGTCCAAAAGTCATTTGAAAAAGTTCAATAGTATTTAAGTTAAATTTTGACAGAATTGTGACACTGTCAGACAGTCTCAGATGTCTGCCTTTGCCATACCCAGAACTTGGATTCTGTTGGAAAATGAAGGGTGCTTCCTGCTCTGCTAGATTTGTTGTTAGATCCTGACTTTGGGGGAGGGGAGGAAATATTTCAAAAGAATGATTCTGATAAGCCTCCAAGGTCTGGTTAGAAATCTGGCTGTCCCATGTATATGAGGAAAACAGGAAAATAACTGTTTACAAAGGAAGTGAAGGAAGGTGCTTAATAAAGGTTTAAAAGATGTTGGACTTTGACTCAGGTTACCCAGGTCTTTGGGGAGTGTCACACAACTGGGCTACAGGTTCTCTGGAGCAGATTATTACCAACATCTCTGAGTGCAAATGCTCTACTTTACACAACTAATTAAAGTGCCTGAGGGGGTGGTAAAATCTTTCAAGCAAAAAGGGATGCACATTAATTCTCCACACTGAGTCAAGGAGAGAAGAGAACTGTGCCCTTGTCACCTGGCTTCTCCTTCAGTGCTTGACATGTTAAGTCAGAAAAAAATGAGAGAATAGGGTAGGGCAGAACTTCTTCCTTTTCCTTCTGCAAACGAGGCCCAAATCCCTCTGTGACTCTTGCTTTCATTTCTTGCCCCATCCCTGGAATTGTTCAAGGCCAGGTTAGATGGGGCTTGGAGCAACCTGGTCTGGTGGGAGCTGTCTCTGCTCATGCAGGGGGGCTGGATTTGGATGATCTTTAAGGTCCCTCCAACCCAACCCGTTCTATGATTCTTTGAAATTCCAGTGTGTTTGTCTGTTAAATGCACAACTGTCTCTGCTTGGCAGGCTCTGCAGCAGACCACCCTGCAGCCTCCTCACCATCACCCCCTTCCACTTCAGGGATGGACAGGTACAGGCTGAAGAGCTTTCTCTTCTATACCATGAAGCTGTGCTGCTCTCCCAACACTAGCAAGGACCTTTTGAACACAAGAGCTCCCTACATGTACCCTAGAGAAAAGGAGGCTGAGGGTGGACCTCATCAGTGCTGATCAATATCTACAGGGGGTGTCAGGAGGATCAGGCCAGACTCTTCTCAGAGGTATCCAGTGACAGGACAAGGGGCAATGGGCACAAGATGGAGCACATGAGGTTCAAGTTAAACATAAGGAAAAACAACTTTCCTGTGAGGATAACAGTGCCCTGGGACAGGCTGCCCAGAGAAGGTGTAGGATCTCCTGCTCTGCAGACATTCAAAACCCATCTGGACTTGTTCCTGTAGGATCTACTGCAGATGACCCTGCTCTAGCAGGGGGCTGGACTAGATGATTTCTAGAGGTCCCTTCCAACCCTGACAACATTATGTGCTGGGAAAACCCTGTAAGCATCCACCAAACCCTACTGCATTTGTGTCTGTCCAGAAATCCCACCAGTGCACTGCAAGATAGGACAACATCAGGAAGAAGAGGGAGGAGGGCAGAAAGGCATCACTGCCCCCATTCCTCCCCTACTCTTCCTACCTCCATTTCTCCCTCAGGAACCCCACTCAGATCCTTCACAAAGCAGCACAACAGCATCTCAGTCCCATGGGGGACTTAGGTTTCCAGCATGGTCATCTCTCCAAGTCCTGTTACAAGACCATGCTGGAAACGTAAGTCCTTTAGGATTTGGAGAGATGCTGCACAAGACCATGCTGGAAATCTGAGTGGAGGTCCAGGGTTGGGCAGGGAACCAGCATGGAGATACGGGAGATATAAACCATCTCCTCAGCTGACAACACACTCTGTTGGCCATCACCACCACATGCCCACTTCCAGCATACACTGGGACTGTACCAGAACTGAACTGGAAGAATTTCAAACACAGATGAAGCCAATACAGAACTGAAACTCGTAATGGTTCAACTCCCTGCTTTAAATGCTGTTGTAAAGAGCAACACACTTTCAATTTGTAACCACAACAAAAGGCTTTTAAACTATTAAAAGCATTGCCTTGCTATAAAAAAAATAAAAAGACTGCTTTACTGCAGATAATTGGCAAATCTGCCATATCAATAGAGATGGCTGAAGAGAAGAACATGCTGCACTGTACAGAACCTATTTCTAGATAACTCCAGTGTTTCTATTCATCTCCTACCACAACAACCTTTATAGCTCACCATGAAAATCTGTTTGGATCACCAGCTCCTGAATGAAAAGAACCTAAGATTTAAATCTTGTGCCCTAGAACAGGGACAGTTCTTCCAAATTCATTTAGTTCCTGATTCTTCTATGGAGATGGTTATGAAAAACCCACATGGCTTTCTGCTGAAGTGAAAAATCCTCAAAGAACAAACCCTTTCTTTGCAGCCCAGAAAGCCAACTATACTCTGGGCTTCTCCAAGAACAGCGTGGTCAGTAGGTCAGGGGAGGGGATTCTGCCCCTCTACTTGGCTCTCGTGAGACCACATCTGGAGTATTTTCTGCAGCTCTGGAGCCCCCAACACAAAAAGGACATGGAGCTCTTGGAGCAAGTCCAGAGGAGGCCACAAGGATGAACAGAGGGCTGGAGAAGCTCTGCTCTGGAGACACGCTGGGAGAGTTGGCGTGTTCAGCCTGGAGAAGAGAAGGCTCCAGGGAGACCTTAGAGCAGCTTCCAGTGCCTGAAGGGGCTCCAGAAAAGCTGGGGAGGGGCTTGGGACAAGGGCAGGGAGGGATGGGATGAGGGGGAATGGATTAAAACTGGAAGAGGGGAGATTGAGGTTGGACATGAGGAGGAAATTCTTTGCTGTGAGGGTGGTGAGAGCCTGGCCCAGGTTGCCCAGGGAAGCTGTGGCTGCCCCATCCCTGGCAGTGTTGAAGGACAGGTTGGATGGGGCTTGGAGCAGCCTGGGCTGGTGGGAGGTGTCCCTGCCCATGCAGGGGGTAGGATCTAGATGATCTTTAAGGTCCCTTCCAACCCAAACCATGCTAGGACTCTGTGATTCTATGACCTAATGTAAGTCACTTGAGCAAAAAAAAACCCACAAAACCCAAATACAAAACCAGAAACAACCTCAAACCCCACAAACTCTGAATATTCAAGCTTATAGAAAAAAAAAAGCCAATAAAAGCAAACATTAGAGACCACACCTCATTCACTTGATTTGGAAAGGTTTTTTAAAGTCTTGCTTTCCCAAGCACAACAAGGAGGAACTGAGACTGTTGCTTTCAAGCCCATGTTTCCTCCTTCCCTGATGCCTTCCAAGGTTTTCCACCCAGGCAGTGCCCAGATCCAGCTCTGGGGCTGAATGTTCCTCTCCCTGCATACCAGACACAGCCACACTTCTCTCAGGGTTCAACACCCTCCTCCCAAGCCTTTCAGCCCTTTTGATGGACTTAAAATTCACTTTGCTTTCGTTCTGCTGCACATCTCTGTATATAGACATGGAAAGTAGCAGCAGGAAAAAAGAATTACATTTTTCTAACTGTACTTCTCTTTGACAAGCCAGTTCTGTAATTCTGGGCAGGCATGTAAACATCTGTAAAA